CTAACCACCTGGTAGCTTTGCTTCAAGAAAGTGAACTCCACCTTTTCCTAATTATTTCCAAGACATTCAAACAGTAAAGGTTTATAAATGAAAGTGATGCTTTTCTAGTGGGGAGGGGAGCTTTCTCTCTTCAGTACCCAGGCAGGGCAGCTTTGTCCCTGGCTCTTTCATGACCCTGTGATTAGGCAAAGGAGAGTGTGGTTCTGAGCCAGGCAGAGGTGAAGTGAAAATGGCATCAAAGACATTTCCTGAAGGGAGGCTGTGAGATAATGCTCCCAGGCTCCTCTCCTGAGGTAAGCAATGGAGTTTAAAAGGCAAAAAGATTCTGCAGCAGATTCCCCTTATCTGAGGGCATCATGTTCCAAGAACCCCAGTGGATACCTGGAGTAGTTGAGAGTACAAACCCCATATATACTATGTTTTTTTCCTCCCAGTTTTTCCTATATATCCATACCTGTAATAAAGTTGAATTTATATATTAGGCACAGTGAGTGATTGAAAGCAATAAATAATAGTAAAATAAAATCATTGTAATAATATTCTGTAATAAAATTTATTTAAGACTTATGAATTGTTATTTCTGGAATTTTCCAGTTAGTATTTTTGGACATGAGTGACTGAAACAGCAGATACTAAACACAAAGTTTGGTGGTCTGTATTTACTATTTGGAAAACTGTACAGGAGCCTGAGTAGGTACTGAAGTAGAGAAGAAATGGAAAAAGTTACTGATAACTATCTTTATGAATATAAAGATAGCAAGTAAAAGAGATGTTGATTTGAGTTTTCTAGGCCATTGGGAAAATTTCTTTCAATTCTCATAAAGTTTTTGTTAAAACAGAATTTCTATTTTCTTATGTCTGAAACCAATAAGTCGGTACATTGCTGATAAGATATCATAAAAATAAATAAGCATATTGCCAAACGTTCATTTATCTTTCAGATGTAAGAACTATTAAAATAAATATCATTACTTCCTTGAACTGTTCACCTCAAAGAAAACATAAAGAATGTTGAATATACATTCTAATAAAATTTATGCATCTGACAAATAAAATGTTCAACTTTTTAATTAATTTATGGAACCCTTAGATGGAAACAAAATAACTAAAAAAATCACAGCATCCAATTATGTAACTAAGAAACATTTGGATGTTATCTGTACTTACAGCTTTTAAATTTAACCCCATGTCTGTATGAAAAGATGTTCAGAACAAACRTCTACTCTCTTCATTTCTTCTCTCACCCTTCATCTGAGTAGATTTTATTTATGCACTAGACGACCTTTTTGGCCATTAGAACCATCTTGCTTCAGCAGTTAATTAACACAAGTACCATAATTTAATACAGTTAATGCTACTTGATGCCCTTTAATGTACCTTCCATTAGTGATATTATTGTAGTATTACCCTGTAAATTAAAATGAGATCAAGACTAAGAGAGCTGCTCTTTAATTAAGGTACTGGCACACTGCACTCTTCTATTATTCACTAGAGAAAATCACCCTGATTTACTGAAGCAGGACATCCATAAGTCAGAATTAGCCCATGAAGATTATTAGGTTTATTGAACAATGTAAGTACTACGGASTCGCTGAGATTGCCAATAGCCATGTTTCCTCTTTCCCTCCATTATCTTAATAAATACACAATGAGAAGGAGTAAATGAAAGCAAAATAAGTATAGCAAAAGAGGAATAAATTACTTATGATGAGATTATGGTTTTTGTAACTAGTAAAATAGGTATCACATGTATTACATACTGAAAAGAACATAAATGACAATCAAAACATAATTTTCACACCAAATGATACCAGTCAGTAAAAAATAAACACATGCACAGAAAATGTAGAGAATTGGAATTCACAGCCACTTTAAACAAAGATATCTAATTAATTTTGTTTCATAGTTTAATATTTCAAGATGAAACATTTTGTATTCTTTTATTCTATGAATGTTTCCATCTGGACTCCATTCCACCATTTAAAAATGACTCATATCAATTTCCACATTTTGGTTTTCAAAGTAACAAGTAGAAAAATATCATTATCYGATACAGATGTGTAGGTAGAGGCATGTAAAATGTTGCCATCATTTCATGGAATGTTGGGGTGGGTAAATGAAACAAAGACCTCAGTTATAATTTTGGAAATATATATGTATGATTGTTTTGGAAAATAATATTTAGAACTTTCTTTTCAAATCATCAATCAATATTCAAACCTCTACAGGAGATTTGTTATATAGGAGAAAGACCATCTAGGCCGTTAATCCTACTGAAATTTTCAAAGGTAAAATAATTAGTGTCTCTGCTGAAAGGCCTATGAACCAGGCTATTGCTCAGTATTTCCCTTTAGTRGCTCTATCATGAGCAGATCTTCCTTATATAACTTGAAAGCTGGAGACACAAGGGAGCCATCAGGCTTTGCTTCTTTGGTCCCTCCCCTAAGACTAAAAATACTGCAGCCATCTGGTGCCTAGTTCAGTACATGCCAGCATTGGTTCCGCCCTGAGAAATCTGGACAGAGTGTGCAGGTGAAAGAGTGGACCTCATGGAAGGGGCTCACCTCTACTGGACCTTTCTGTTTTGCCCAGCTGCTTCTTACTAGCTTACAGTTGACTGATGAACAGGAAAAGACAGTGGAGGTGAGTCCCAGAGAAGGGAGGAGGGCTCCTGCAAATTCCCCAGAACCACAGAAGTGCAGGTGAAAGGATGGTAGGAAGACAAAAGAAAATGATAAACTTGGAGGGATTCTGAAATTTCTACATGCCACCTTCAGATGGCCTATCTGACCCCAGTGGAGAAGGCATAAAAATGTCTTTACTTTTAAAATGTATTTTATATTTTTCTTTGATCTGATTGTTTCTTCTAAACAATTGATTCTTTTAAACAATCAGATAAAAGATAAATGGATACCCAGTGCCAAAAATAAGCTCCAACAATGGTGTTTCCCAGCCACAAGATTTCTTAAGAGTGCCTTCTTGACAAGTGGAAGGGCAAGTGTTTGGAGGAAGTTGGGCTATAGCAATTTGGACTCAGATTAAGGATTTCTCAAACTGTAGGAAACTGACCTATATAAATATACCTAGCAATGTAGATCATACTAGGATTCAAATCCAAATTATTAATTTTGACCTTTAATCTTATAGATGAATCAAATACTTACTACTTGATTTAGATATACTATTGTTAATAATATCAACATCAATTATTTTCATATATGTCCTCCAGAATAAGATACTATAAATTAATAATTTTTTTTGCTAAAATGTTCCTAAGCATAATAATGGCAGCATTTTATTATAAACAGCAAACTCATGTTCAAGGCAACAGCTCCCTATCATACTGTCATAGTTCCCTGCTAATACATGAACTGCTCTCTATACCCTGGAACCTGCAAGCTTGAAATACAAATGTATCAGGGCATATATCTCTCAAAAATATTTGGCTTTGAAGATACTTTCATCATCCATCACCAAGACCTTAGTTAAAAGTTTAAAATAAGGTTCCATAGTTACAGTTTCTTTCTTCCTTGAGGAACAGAGTTCCTGCTACTTCTCCACAGCTAAGATCCTGATACCACTCTGAGAGGTTGTGCCCATCACTCTAGTCTGGGTACCCACTAAGGCCCTTTCCTTAGCAGCAGAGACTTCTTCCTCATTCTAGCATTACACAAGGTAAGTCTCCGAAAGCCAGATCTCAACACTTGTCCAGTTTCCGAGGACTGGGCTGCCCTAAKGGATGCCAGGAACCAGTAAATTGAATGAATCCTGTCTAAATTTTATGATTATTTAATTAAACCAACATGACAGAGGTACTGCTTCTATTGTTATCCTCATATATTATGACTTCAAGCTCTCTTGGCATTTTTTGGAGTGATTATAGCTTTACTTGCCTTTCCTTTATTTCCATTTTTATGAATTATACTCTTACCTCCAGTTTTCCCCACTCACTAACCTAGGCTTCCACTTTCATTAGTTGGCTATTTTGATACTATGCCACACTTGCAAAGCTGGTTGGGAATATCTATGTTGGTAGTCCTGGTTCTCATTATTCAAATTTGTCATTGAAACAACTTCAAAATTCTTGGAAACTTCATTATGTTTCTATTATATTGTCAAAAACAAAGACAGACATTTTTATTTGTACTAAACAGTGACCATTAGTATTGCAACCCTGGTCCTTCTGTGATTGATATACAAAATGAAGGGCACCAATTCAAGTTCATATTTTAAATGTGGCACATCATTTCAATACAAAAGCGCATCCAAAAACCTAAGAAGTAGAACTTGTCCCTGCTTAACAGATGCTTTATTTCCTAGATGCTTATGGTTCTGATTTAATAAATGTAAAGAAATATAGCTTTCATTTCCAGATTTTTTTTGGTCCAATATAACAAATATGAACAGATTGATGTACTGTGAGTTACAATCCTCCTTGCATGTAAAATTACAAGTTCTATTTCTTGTTTTTCAGTCCCTTATAGGACAATAGAATTTAATCCCTAAGTTTTAATTGCCTTAATGACAAAAACTGAAAACCTCCTGACCTAGGGAGTTCCTYTGTCTTAAGTAAGATACCCCCTCTTTTTTTGTTGTTTKGTTTTGTTTTCATTTGAATTCTTAAGAATCCCACCAGGCTGGGCTGGGTCTGTAGCTCAGTGGCAGAGCACTTGCCTAGCATCTGTGAGGCACTGGGTTGGATCCCTAGCACCATATAAATATAAACAAACAAAATAAAGCCATGTTGCTCATCTACAACYACAAAATAATAAATAAATAAGAATCCCACCAGGCCCACCAGGTTTCACGGCAGCATGTCTGAGATTACAAATTACTACTGAGTCCAAAGGATCTCAAATACCTTCAGAATGTACCAGCACACTGATATTCCTGAGAAAATGTTGCAGCAGAAATTGACAATTGCCATCTTAGGAACTGCAGCCTCAACACACTGGCGATTCCTTTGGACACACCCATTCCCAATTGAGGCAGACATTCTCTTACCTTCCTCGCACCTTTATGTCTGAGATGGCGTAAAAGTAGCGTGCCAGGTGTAGCTCATCTACAAATATTTCCCCAACAGCTGGCCTCAGCAGCCTTATCCTCAGGTCTGTGACTGTGAAGAAATCTCTGAGTTTCTTGGTGGTATCCAGCTGTCCGTAGAGGGAAGCCATATTCCGTAGCCGAGGTCCAGCAAAAAATGCGAACCTGTCTTTGATTTCGAAGTGGATTATTTTGCTATTCGTTGTATACCCCGTGGAGTACTCTTCTGTGCAAATGATTTCCAAGACGGTGTGTTGTGATAAATCCTTCACAGATTTGGGGTCCATGTGAAAAGCATCCAAGCAGTCTGTGGCATAGTACTGATAGGGTTGCCATGTTCGTCCATAGTCGAGAGATTTCTCCAGGATCATTTGATCTGGACGCCCCGATTCAAAGGTAATAACTATGTTGTCTGTGAGCTCAATGGTTTTACTCCAAGACAGAGTGATGTTAACTTGGAGAGGCTTGGGGTACTCTTTCCAAGTAGCAGACTGCCAAAATGTGGAGGGGTGTCTTCCTTCAAAGTCAAACATCAGCTCAGGAGGGTGTGCCAGCTCAGGGGTGCTTGCATCGCACTCATTATTGCACATGTAGGGATTGCCCTGTGGAGGAAGAACAAGAGGTGCCACATTAAAACACGGGGTCAACTCAGGTCTTGCCATGTTGCTGTTGCTAAGAGGCATGAAAAGAAAAAACTTTCTCAATAATCATTTTTATTTGTTTTAAACAGATTACCCTCYATAATAGTTTTTTAAGAAAAAAACAAAACACAATAAATATGATAATTTTCTAGTCTTGTTTCCTTCTATGGACTTTAACAGTTTTTTATCCCATATGTGTTAGATCACAGAAACACTAAGACACAGAGCAACCGTCTAACAGCTCAGTACCTCYGCTCCCTCTTAGAAAGATGTTATGGAAGAGCAAGGGAAATTCCCCCTGCCTCAAGGACATTGCTTAAGAGCATAGTTCCTTAAAAAGTCATTTTTCAAGCAAGATTTTAGAACTCTCCATGAACCATAAACCCATGTCCTGCTTGAGAAGCAATGCCCCCATGCAATGTTCAGTTTCTCTCAGCTTTGCCTCCCATCCATCATACTTAACTGGGTCTCTGCTTCATAAATTCTGGTTTTAAAACATTTACTTTATTCACCACAAATCATTAAAATGTGGTACACTGCAGGCTCTGGGGCTTGGTCCAAACATCTGCCATCCTATTAGCTAGAGATAAGAGGATTGCTCAGGAAAGACTTGGGGTTGGGGGTGTGTTCCAAGAAAACCTGCTATAATCATCCCTCAGTGTTCATGAGGGACCAGTTCCAGAACCCTCATTGACACCAAAATCTACAGATGCTCAAGTGCCTTGTATAAAATGCCACAGTATTTTCATATCACCTACACGTATCCCCCCACATACTTTAAATCACCTCTAGATTACTTATAATACCTAACATAATGCAAATGCTATGTAAATAGTTGTTGTTCTCATTGCTTAGGGAATATTGATGGGAAAAAAAAATCTGTACATGTTCAGTACAGAAACAGATATCAGAGGCCTAACCACATAGTGCAGGAATGAGATGGGGTGAACCATGCTCAAACAACGAGCACTGGAGAGACTGAGGATCTGGGAAATGGTGAAGGCCGCAGTAGCATGTACCCACATGTCACCTCATTGGCCTGAATTCAACACAGTTATCAGCACACAGCAAATTTAGATTTGTTTGGGGACCTTTCTGAATTTTGTTTTTTCAATACTTCCAACCCATGGTTGGTTGAATCTGTGGAATGCAAAACCCTAGGTCGTGGAGGGCCGACTATATAAATAGGACGGTGTTGCAAACCAAACTCTGCGGCAGCCCATAGCAGCCCTCCATCGATGTTAATTACTATTATCATTATTCTCCTTCTGTCAAAGGCTACTTCCCTTTCAATCCAAACAAGTAACTGGAACTAAATCTTATTATATCACTGTCACAGTGTTATTGTAATAACACTGCTTGTGCTACACTAAGTGGCTGCTTGTGGCTTTCATCAGGGGATCGTATGGAGAATGACTGGCTCCCCATTTTTATTTATGTTATTTTAAAAAATAACAGAATTATTTGGAAGCCACTACTCAGGTCCAGTAGTCCTTCCTTATCCCCAGGGGATATTTTCCTAACCCCTCYGTGAAAGCTCGAAAACACAGATAGTACTAAATCCTCTAAGTATATCTTTTTCCTATACATASTTACCTATAACMAACAGTAAWTTATAGACACARTGAAAGATTAACAACAGTAATTCATAATAAAATAGAACAACTATAACAATACATGGTAACAAAGTTTATGTAAATGTGGTCTCTCTCAAGATGTTTTATTATACTCATCCTTTTTGTGGTGATGTGAGATGACACAATGTAAGGAGAGGAAGTGTGTGAATAGTAACCACACACCTTGTCATTGTGACAAGGTGTGTGGTTACTATGCCCGGGCACCTGGACACAGCACTATAATATCAGGCAGTTGATCTGATAACTCAGACCTTGGCTAAATGACAAATGATCATGTAGTGGAAATAACACGGGTTCTCTAGGCAAAGGGATGATTCATGGCCGGGGTGGGATGGAACAGGATGGCAAGAGATTTCATCACATTACTCTGAATAGTGCATAATTTAAGACTCATGAGTTATTTATTCCTGGAATTTCCCATTTAATATTTTTGGACCCTAGTTGACCATGGATAAATGAAACCATGGAAAGAGGAACTATGGATAAGAAGGAATGACTCTCTCTTGCCCTGTACCAGGTGATCCTGCGTATGGATGGGTAAAAGAATCTACCCTTTGACATTGTCCTTAGACTGTCTCTTACAATTACAATTAGATGTCCTTTTGTCTTCTTCATGAACTTGGAACTTTTTTCATACCTGTTGGATGCATGAGATGAGTCTCAAATAATGAATATACACTTTYGATATCGATGCTCAGTTACCTGCTGACTCCTATGAAATACAAGATGAACATTGGAGAATTGCTTTGGCCTCCCTAGAGGCAACTCTCTCCTACCTAGTCAGCTAATACTCTCAGTCTCTTTTTCCCATTAATGCAATTGGATCTTAAAGTTGGCAACAGGTCTGGGAGACTCAAGTATAATTGAGATGAGGCAGGAGAAAGGGGAGAAGGTACATTATTTGAAGAACAGAACTGTTTTAAAAATATACTCAAGAAATCAGTGATAATGAAAATGTTTCTGTACTTCTCTCTCAAATTTCAATTCCCTATTCCTGATCCCAGCGTCTGTGASACTATTTATAGGTATCCCCTTCAAAATGAGCCAAGGGGGTGGGGATAAGTTTCTGTTCCAGGTGGAATAAATCATCAAATTTATTATTATTTAAGCTCTCTTAAGCATACCAGAGAGCCAAATGCAAAGCTCTGCAAACTGGCAAAGGCTTTTTATGGAGGGCTATAAATATTGTGGAATCTGTCAGGATTTATAAATTCTAAATATATGTAAATGTGCATTTTACTGGAAGGGGTCAGATTCACACAAATCTCACCTTCCTTTGAAATTTACCAAAAAAATATGGTCACTTCAAAATCTGTCAGTATGCAGCCATCTGCACAATCACTGACTTGGACACTAACCCCCGTCCTCCTGAGGAATGTGTCTTCATATGAGGTCAGGAGTGAGGGAACGAAGGGAACCAGCTCTGTGGGGTACACCAGAGGGAGCCAACAGACATTTGTATCAAGTCATGTTGAAATACAGCATTTGTTCACCTTCAGCTGAGGAACATGGAGCATGAGGACAAGGTGCTGGGACCAGAGGACAAGGAGGYACAGCCAGCTCTTCTACGGGGAGTGGGGTGGGTACCAATCCTAACAAAATGAAATGCTTGAAGRAATCTATCTCAAATGCATTTATATATACATTCAGTGTATGGCATTGACAATATCCACCATTTAGTCATCCCTGATGTGTTGGATAGTTTACTTGTCTTAGGAAAATCCCTTTCATCCCTACCTCACAGAACAGGAAATCAAGGCATAGAGAAGTGTTAAGGAACTTGCCCAAGWTCATATAGCCGACMGTAAGAATCAGAGCCAGAACTTGTTCTGCTACCCCTGCCTGGTCTGCTCMATACCCAACTCAATGGAGTCCTCTGTGTGATAACACTCTCTTAGAAACAGCAGTCAGAAAGAAAATGGCTGGGATCAAATGTTTGAGAAAAAGTGTCTAAGAGCTTGTCTTAGYCCTGATGAGCATAATCATACATCTGGGATACCTTGAAATTAAGATTCTTRCTTAGCTGCACAAAATACACTTAGTTTCAAAAACTTATTTTGCCATGGAGTCCCTATTTAACTTAGTAACCCCTATTGATATGCCACAGAAATAGTACCCKGTAGGGCATCCCCCTTTGAAATTCTCTATATTTTCTTATAATTGTAAACACGTGGAGGTCAGACAGTACCTCACAACCCAGTATTAGTCCTTTAGTGAAGACATGGCCACAGGAAGCTCTAGGTCTCTGCTTTTGTTCCATAGGGAGGGGCACCCTTCCCCTTGGGCTGAGCAGGACGGCCAGCTCTGGGTAAAGGTTGACAAGTCTTTATGACAAGTCTCTTGTAGYTTCACACAGATCTGGTGCTTTAGGCACCTGAGAGATGAGGGCAAAGTCTCATTCACTCAACAATTTTTTATTGATTGCCTATTATACAACAGTATTTAAGGAACTTGTCTTGGCACTTGATATAACAGTAAAAAAATCCAAGTCCCTATTTTTGAGGTGTCTCCATCCTAGTTGGAGGAGATGCATTAAGCAAACAAACATATAATGCTTTATAATGGCCCATGGTGATAACTGCTATGGTGAAAAATAAATCCAATTAGAGGGATGAGTGTTAGTGGGAGGGGATGGTGATTGTAATTTTATATTAGGAGGTCAGAGAAAGTCTCTCTGATAACATGACATTTGAGCAGATTAAGAACAATTCCCAATTTACACTGGAGATAATCAGAGGAGGTTGGCCAGAATGACAGTTTCGTCCTTCATCTGACTCTACTCTTACTGATATTTTCAGCAGCATAACAATTTATTGCAATCGATGGGTAAACAAATCATTTGAAATGAGAATCTGTACCAAATGACAAAAGATACCAAAAAAAAAAAATCAATTGGACCAGTCTCTTCTTTTCAGAGCATTTCTACTCTTTGGGGAGATTAATGATTTGATTGCCATTAACATAATTTACCYAGAGACAATGACATTGTGAAAAAATTAGCAGAGGATGCAAAGAGGAAAAAAAGTAAAAGGATTTCTTTTGGTCTTTACATTTTAGGTGGGGAGAGAAAAAGAAAAAGAAAGCTAAATCTTATTCCTGATACAGAAAGCTAGAGGAGAGATTATACACTAAAATATTGAGTGTAAATATTTCACATGGGTATGATCTGTAATGCTTGTTGTTAWAGAGAATTATCAATATGAAAACAATTCTTGTTAAAGGGATTAGATTAATTACATTTCAACTACTTCAACTCCACCCTAATCCTTTTTAATAACATCAACAATGGAATTTATATAAGAAAAAGCAACTTTCCCCTACTTA